AAGGATTTTGAGACTTTGTCTCACATACTTTGAGGGGTCAGACTTTGAAAAAAGCCATAGTGATTAGAAAGTAAAGTGAAGGAGAGTGGCTGCAGCAGGCTTGGGCAGAGCAGAGACAGGGCAATGCAGGACTGGGTAGTTGCTGTGTTCTGTTATATAGAGGGTTGCACTGAGTTGGAACCAACTTAACAGCAACTTGTTCTTCTTGTTATTATGTGCTGTCAAGTCACCTGTGACCCATAGCGACCCTATATACAGCAGCTCTGAACCCTGCCCTGCCCTGAGCCGGTCTCACTAATTAAAAATATGGAACACTTCATGAATTTGCATGTTGTCCTTGTGCAGGGGCCATGCTAATCTTCTCTGTATCATTCCTATTTTAGTAATGTGCTGCCAAAGTGAGCACTAACAATTAGCAATGAAAAAAAAAATACTATAGCTCAGGAAAGACATGATAGTCAACAAAATACCAACATGTAGTGCCATAGGTCTAATAGAAAATTTGTACAAAATTAGTTTAAGGAAGTATTCTCTTTTAACCAGGCCAACTCTAGAAAGTATTTTAGAGTTGACAGAAGAACACATTAAAAGTGGGGTCATTAATTGCTAAGTCACTCCCCAAATATTTCTTACACAGACACCATATTTGGGTCTGGAAAGTAAAGAATAGAAATATTATCTCTTTTCTCACGAACTTGAAAGTCTATCAGGGAAGCCAGACATTAACCATGAGAATATAGTAAAATGGCAGAGGAATGTCTCTTTTTTATTGATTATACAAAGGCACTTGACTGTGTGGATGACAACAAATTTTACCTAACCTTGAGAAGAATGGGCACGCCAAAGAACTTGATTGTGCTTATGCAAAACCTATGCTTGGACCAGGAAGCAGTCATCAAAACAGAACAAGGAAATACTGCGTGGCTCAAAATCATGAAAGGAGTGTGTCAGGGATGCATCCTGTCTTCATAACTTTTCAATCTATATGTGGAACAGATTATTTGGGAGGCTGGTCTTTATGAGGAGGAATGTGGCATCAGGATCAGAGGAAGACTCATCAACAATCTGTGTTATGCAGATGACACAACCTTGCTCATCAAACTGAAGAGGACCTGAAGCATTTGCTGCAGAAGATCAAGTACTGTAGTTTTTAATATAGATCGAAGCTCAACTTCAAGAAGAAAAAGATTCTTACCACTGGACCAATTGACAGTACCATAATAGAGAAGTGATTAAAGTTGTTAACAATTTTAGCTTGCTTGATTCCACAATCAACACTCTTGGATAGTAGCTGTTGGGAAATCAAAAGACAAATTGCATTAGGAAAATCTGCTGTCAAGGTTCTCTCCAGAATACTAAAGAGCAACAATGTCAGTCTAGAGACTAAGGTGCACCTGATGCAGGCCATGGTTTTTCAGTTACTTGCTATGTATCAGAGAGGAGGACAATAACTAAGTATAACAGAAGAATTGATGCCTTTGAGTTGTGATTCTGGAGAAGAGTATTGAACATATCACAGACAGTCAAGAGAACAAAAATTCTGTCCTGGAGAGAGTAAAACCAAGATGCTTTTGGAAAGCAAAGATTTTGAAACTCCACCCAACATACTTGGAACATGTTTCAGGAGGGACCAGTCCTTGGAGAAGGACATCATGCTTGGAAGGGTGAAGGAACAATGCAGGAGAGGAAGAGCCTGGATGAGAAGGACTGACACAATAACTGAGGTAATGGGGTAGATGATGTTAGAGACACTGAGATTGGCAGCGTTCAGAGCTATCATGTAGAGGGTTGCTATGAGTTTCAGGCAACTTGACAGCACACAACAACAACAACAATATTCTGAGAGAAAAATACCTAAGAACACTAGGAGCATGAGGCAGCAGACTACCAAACAACAGCATCAATCAGTTTTATCTGTGAGAAAGTGATGTTAACCTGAGACCAGAAGAATGTGCAGGGAGTGATTCAGGCAGAGAGAATTTGAAGGTTCAAGAATCTTCAAAGGAGCCCTGGTGGTGTTCTGGTTAAAGTACTTGGCTTATAACTAAAACATTAATTATTTGAATTCACTTGGTGCTCTCTAGAGAAAAATGTGTCAGTTTGCTCTTATAAAGATCACAGCCTTCACACCCTCTGGGGAAGTTTTACTCTGTCATGTCAGAATTGACACTATAGCAAGAGGTATTAATCTTGAGCTACCTAACCTCAAGATGTGATAATCAGGGAAGAACAAGCACCCTACCTATGACTTAGAGGGCAGGATGATGCCCTCAGGTTCATTCATAGGATGTTTGAATGTCTGGTATTAATGGCAAGTCTATTTGGCTAAGTTGATGCCTTTGAGTTGTGGTGCTGGAGAAGAGTATTTAATATACCATGGACTGCTAAGAAAACAAACAGGTTCATCTTGGAGAGGGTTAAGCCAGGCTGCTCCTTGGAGGCAAGGATTCTGAGACTTCATCTGACATACTTTGGACATATTGCAAGGAGGGACCAGTCCTTGGAGAAGGATGTAATGATTGGGTGGGTGGAGAGACAGCGAAGGAGAGGAAGACCCTCTACAAGGTGGATTGATTCAATGACTGGGGAATTTTAGGCAATGTTCTAAATACAACACTCATCCTCAGGTACAACCAAGAACTGTTCTCATCCCAGATGATTTAAATCTATACTTTGGGAACTACATAAATGACTGGGAATTCTAGGCAATGTTCTAAATACAACATTCATCCTCAGGTACAACCAAGAACTGTTCTCATCCCAGATGATTTAAATCTATCCTTTGGCAACTACATAAATCATAGGTAAGTCCATCATCTAAATCAGGACATTAAGTCTTGTTATTCCTGTTTAGGCACATATGACATTGGATTAAGAAACAGTCAAGTAGAAGTCTTAGAGAATGCTTAGGAACTGGCTTTATTTAATCAATGATGTTTTTTCCCTAGCTAAACATATTAAAAGAAGACTTCCCCCCTCCACTCGACAGCACTTAACAACAACATTGAAACCACAGTATTAACAATGCTATAGAAAGTATTATCTTTTTTACTTTCACAAGAACAATGTAAGGAACAAGACAGAGACTTCTTTGACTATTCAGGCAGAAGGAAATAGGAATTGCCCACAGAAATGACTTATCTAATGCAGAAGATATGGGATTACACTTAATCTCCCATGGTCTGTACAACCTCTGCCACCTTTTAATAACGAAATCATTGTCATCCATTTACTGTGTCATTTCCTGCTTTCTTATCAAGATCATCAAGGGGACTTTGGCGGCGTAGTCACCTGGGAGTTTTGCTGCTAACTCTCTGACTGTTTGAATCCACCAGTGGCTCATGGGGAGCATTCTATTTCTATGCCATTTACAGCCTCAGAAACCTAATGGAATTGCTATGTGCCAGTTTCAACTTGATGATACTGAGTTTGAGGGCTTATTGATATCAAGTGCAAAAAATATTATAGTCAGAATTCTGCTTAGCTGGTTGTAAGTAATCAGGTTTCCCCCTTTGTGTTTAACTTCATATGATGGGGGGTGGGGAAGAATTTAGTGTTTACTGTCTTCAAAAACTAAAAGCATGTCTTCTTCTGTAAGCAGACTTTTTCTTACAGGGAGGGAGAGACAACGGAACAATGTACAGATGAATGATAATAGATAGAAGAGTATGTAGTTATTGATTTACAGTGTACAGAGAACCATACTCCAAGGATGATTCCATGGAGAGAGACATGGTCCTTGGAAAGGTGGAGAGTCACGTAGGAAAGGAAGACCCTCAAACAGCTGATGACATGGTGACTGCCACAATGGGCTCTAATGTGTCAGGAAGAGTGAGGTTGGCACAGGATAGGGTACGGTTCAGATCTGTTGTTCATAGGGTCTGAATGAATTGTACTTGACTCAATGGTACCTAACAACAACAGAAAACTTCCTATTCTGTTCTACAAATATCACTTTTTTGCCAAAGTGGATAATTAGAAGGAGTGTTTCCTCCATCTCAATGAGTTTTTCAATGGCACTTTGGCTGTACTGACTTTTATTTCATTTTTTAGCAAATTAAAAAAAATACTGAAAGACTTTAGTGAAAACAGAAACCATGAAATGAGTGTAGAGCTGTAGATTAGTCATCAAAGTTAATAGACTTGTCAGTTTTTAGAAATAAAGCAGTTTAAACAAATGGAAAAAATTATTTGATCTAATGTACAATTATAGTTATCAGGAGAATAGGATATAATCAAGATATTTTTCTCTAAAATGGAAAGATTCCAATCTTAATATTACTGATTTGGACAAGATGTTACATAATTTTTCCCTGGAAACTGGAAGGGTTCTTTATTTAAGAAAGAAAACTTTTAAAAAATTTTATTTTATTCATTTTAATGAACATTTACAGAAATTTTGGATTTTCATTCATTCATTGTTGCACTTTTTTCTTTATATCCCGCTCCCCCTAGTTCTCTCCTCTCTTTGAAAAGCAAAAGATAAACTTCTTCATTGGTATGCAATCCCTCCGGCCCCGCCCCGTCTCCCCTCCCCACCCCAAAGGCACTCCACTATGCAACCTTAATTTTGGATTCCTGTGATAATCATAATATGCTATCATATATCACTTTTAAACTGTTCTCTCCCTCATTTTTTAAAGTGAAGATTTTCTTGAAATCCACAAATGTGGCATAAGTAAAAACAGCTTGCTAAGTGTAGCCCTAGTTGCCTCACCATGTTGCTAAAGCTGCCAAGTTAAGAGGTGCTGCATTCAAGAGACTCTCAGACTTTTAAACTGTATAAACATATGTCTCTTTTCACCATCTGTCACTAATTGGCTGATACATCTTCTTGTTCCACCCAATCAGGATGCTGGGTCTTCAATCACCAAGAGCCGAGACTGTACCCAAATCTCCTCAAGAAGACATCCTGACAGGTTGGTTTTCTTTTGAAGTAGTAGTCAGTGTGAGGTAGACAACCCCAGGGGTGTTGTTTGTTGTTATGTGCCATCGAGTTGCTTGCGACTCATGCAACCCTATGTACAAGAGGCTTAAACCCTGCTCTATCCTGTGCCAACCACATTGTCTCCAACACACCTACTCCCATTACTCCAATCACTGAATCAATACATCTCATCGAGGGTCTTCCTCTCCTGCGCTGCCCCTCCACCCTCCCAAGCATGATGTCCCTCTCCAAGGACTGGTCCCTCCTGGCAACATGCCCAAAGTATGTCAGACGAAGCTTCAGAATCCTTGGCTCGCAAGAGCAGCCCGGCTTCACCCTCAACGTGTTTGTTCTCCTAGCAGTCCATGATATATTCAACACTCTTCTCCAGCACCACAGTCATTGTCCAGCTCTTCAATGCATAGTACACAATTGTGAAAACTAGCCCAGATCAGGTGCACCTCAGTCTCTAGCTCTTCAGTACTCTGGAGAGGTCCCTCACAGTTGACTTTCCCAGTGCAATTATTCTCTTGATTTCCTGGTTGATGGTATCAAGAGTATTGACTGTGGAGCCAAGCAAATTAAAATTGTTAACTATCTCAATCTCTTCACCATCCATACTGATGCTGCCAGTTGGCCCAGGGTAAGAATTTTTGTTTTCTTGATGTGGGCTTCAATCCATACAGGAGGCTGTAGTCCTTGACCTGCAGCAAGCTCTTCAAGTCCTCCTCAGTTTCAGCAAGCAGGGTTGTGTCATCTGCATAACGCAGGTTGTTGATGAATCTTCCACCAATCCTGATGCCACATTCCTCCTCGTACAGTCCAGAGTCCCAGATTATCTGTTCTGCATACAGATTGAGAAGGTATGGAGACAGAATACATCCCTGGAGGACCCTCTTCCCAATTTTGAACCATACAGTGTCTCCTTGCTCTGTTCTGACAACTGCTTTTTGGTCCAAGTATGTTGTTGTTGTTGTTAAGTGCCGTCGAGTTCATAGTGACCCTATGAACAAAAGTCCTCGACAATTGCGTGACTTTCATCCTTTCTCCATGTTTGTAGGGTTTCTCAAGGCAAGCTATTTAAGGAAATGGATGCCACTCCTGTGTTTCACATAAGCACAATCAAATGTTCTGGGATTCCCATTCTTCTCAGGGTGGTAGAATGAAAAGTTTAAGGTCCAAAATAACTTCTAATATTTTCTGGACAAATTCTCATTTCTTTCTCTCTCTCAGGTTATTTTTTGGCTCTGTTTTGACTAGTCTAAGGAGCACTAGGGGTCTAAGGACTGGCTCTGAGGGAGAAGAATGAGGCACTCTCCTCTCATAAATATTTATCACCTTCTCTTGTAAAGATGTACCACTTCAAAAACCAGATTGACAGTGGCCTTGAGCCAGAATCAACTGGATAGCAGTGGAGTGGTCTGACTGGTCTGTGGCCCATCACTCTTCCCAGCCCAGCTAGTCCCCTCATCAGACTTGACTTGCCGTTATTATCTGTGTCATGCTTCTTTCCAAACCCATCCCATGCCACATGACTACCTCATTACTTCTAATTAGCCTGTAATCTATTTGCTGAGGATTTCCATAGATATGTGATTTAAACTAGATGAAAACCCCTCTCCCCTCCACAGCCCTAACAGTAGCAATTAAAATGGGAAAGAACTGCCCCACTCAGGCCCTGAGCCATCTATATCCTTGAAGGTTCCCAAAAACACCACACCACCCAGTAGCTGACCCAGGCTTTTCTTATCTTTTCTTGCTCTTGATGGGGAGTAAAAAATATCTTTCCAGCTTCAACGGGCCTAAATCATAATCCTTTTAGAGAAGCCAACTTTTGAGGTGATACAATTGGAAAGGTTAGTATAGCACAGCTGTCATTTTAATAGCTTTGTCTGTCTTCTTATTTCCCTCCGTATTACCTGAAACTATCTGAAGCTGTTCTTTAATTGGATACATACAATAAGGAAAAGCAAGATCATCTCTTTTACTTAGAATAAATGGGAAAGTCTAGGCTCTATCCTGGAAGGTTGCAGGGGAGAGAGAGGCAGGACTGAGCTGAAGAGACACGTAGACAGGAAATTTGAGGATCGATGATACGTCTTAGGGAAAGGGATGCCAAAGGGAGGATCAGACAAAGACTGAATAGGAACTAAGGTTTGTGAATCATGCTGGTAGAGTGAAAGGTGTTAGTCCCAGGGATCCCTTCTTCTGTATCTAAAACATTGGCTTATTTCATAGCCAAAGTGTACAGAAGAGCCTAGAGCTAAAAACATGTACCCAAAGAAAACACCACTGTGCTGTCCTCTGGACCATGCCCATATTATTCTCTTGAAGCTGAGAGAACAACCGGGTATGCTTGGTTCTAAGTATCAGCCACCCTCCCTACATCTGCCACACAGTCACTCCTCACAGTTTCTCCTGGAACTGGATTTGTTCGGGCCTCTCCTTACGAGGAATGAACCAGACAACTCTTCCCCTCCCCCTCTCCCTGGTATTATATGCTTTTCCCTCAACAAGCACTTTTATTGTCTAACCCTGAATATAATATAATGAGATACCTTTCATCAGTTTATTAGCTGGCAGGGTACATACCTCAGTTAGCAATGAAGTGATTTGATGTGCACAAGATCAGTACAGTGGGTGGACCTGGTTCTTGCCTACACAGTTCGGCTGTGGAGAGCAGTATGAATTTGCAAGAAGAGTAGTTTAGAGCTGATTAGGAGATGAACCTTAGGAAGCTTTGGTTAATTCCGGCTGTAGCCTTTCTGGGTTATACCTTGATCTTGGGTTGTTCTCTAAGATTCTGTGAAAAGCACTAGTCTGGGAAGCAAAGAAATGTAGATTAGAATCTTAACCTTGCTGAATAGACTTGGTGAAACTGTTTAAACTCCCTAGGGCTCTATTCTCACCTGTAAAACCAGAAAACTGGTTGACCAGTCTGAGTGCCAGACACTCAACACAAGCAGTCTTCACCTTTGGTCCACTGAGAGAACTCCTGACAGTGCAGTTTGGTGTATCTTAGACGTGTTCATACTATAGCACTTGCTGCTTTTTGCTGAAGCCACCACCCAGCTGGCCTCAGTGCCCGTGGACATGCTGCAGATACCACATGGCTGACTCATCCAGGAAGCATTACTACCAATCATGTTTAACTCATCCTGTTAGCCACAAAAGAGATTTCAAGCCCTTTCCCTAGTTCTACTAAACTTTACATATTACCACTAATTCTTGCTGAGAACCAACTATGTGAAAAAGATCTGTCTCCACAAGTCATGGGGAGGGGGTAATACCTTCTGGGTTCGTTTCTCCTTGCTTTGGGCCAAATATCCCTTCATAAACACTGCTCCAGAGGCTGACTGCCTGACTTGGGTGACCACGTGGCACTGTAGTGTGATCTGGTACAAAGGACACTGGGTTACAGCTGGAGAGATCAGGGTTCTGGTCCCAAGTCTGTCAGAGCCTATGACTCCAGGCCTTTGTGTCCTCTTCAATATGGTGGTGAGACTGAGCTGGATCTTGGGTGCGTATGATTCAGTAATATCTCTAAGCTCCCATTAAACTGGATTGAAAAAAATTTTTAAAAAATGTAATAAAAAACTAAACAAAAACCCAAAGAACTGGATCTAGAAGCTTGTTCCAAAGAATTCAGTGTTTCAGATTCCATGAATCATTCAAAGACTCCCAATGGAGAGATGCTATTTCATGCACTGATTTACTCTCCTTCAAGTGATTCAACTTCCTGAAAACTTGTTATGAACCAACTTTTTGTAAATAATATTTAAAAGAGAAGTCACATTATTAAGGATATTGATACTATTGTTGTTGTGTGCCCTTGAATGAGAGCCAACTCATAGCTGGCCCTACAGCAGGCTTTCACAGGTAGTAAATCGCATGGGAAGAGACTACCCATCCTTCTCCTGTGGAAGAGCTGGTAGATTTGAACTGTGTGCCTTTGGGATTACAGCACACTTTCTGACCATTAGGCCACCAGAGCTCCCTGGTGAAGATATTTTCCCAGATATCTTTTATTACTATTACTATTACTATTACTATTACTATTACTATTACTATTATTATTATTATTATTGTTAATTTTAATAAAAGTTTAGAGACTTTGTATTTCCATTCATTCATTGTTGCACTTTTCTTCCTGCCCACATCTCCCCCCTCCCCAGTTTGCTCTTCTCTTTGAAAAGTAAAAGAAAAATTCTTTCATTGTTATACAATCCCTCCCCCCAAGTCCACTCAATATGCAGCCTTCACTCTGGACTCCTGTCATGACAATAATATCTAATCATATATCCCTTTTAAACTGTTCTCACTCTCATCTGTTTCAATGCAGTATATATTATTTATCCCCTCATTCTCAGTCTTCCCTCAACCCTGATGTCAGTCCCATTTTACAACAGTGTCACTATGCACTATTTGTCCTTTTGTGACTGAGATATTCCACTCAGCATAATGTCCTCCAGGGTCACCCATTTTGTATAATATTTCATGAGTTCTTTGTTTTTCAAAGCAGCATAGTATTCCATTGTGTGAATATACCACAGCTTCTCTATCCATTAGTTAGTTGATGGGCACTAAGGTTGTTTCCAACTCTTTGCTATTGTGAACAAAGCCGTGATAAATATGGGTGTGCATGTTGTGGTTTGGGTGGCAGTTATGGTTTCTTTGGAGTATATTCCCAGTAGTGGAATTACTGGGTCAAATGTTATTTCTACTTGCAACTTTTTGAGAAAGCGCCATACCGCCTTCCATAGTGGTTACACCGTTATCTTTATTTCTCCTTAGTTGGTTCCCAGTATGTGAAAGCCCTGATGGCATCGTCCATAGAGAGCTGCACCTTGTTGGTGGTTTGAATCCACTCCTGTGGGGAGAAAGATGGGCAATCTCCACCCCTGTGCTTTACAGCCCCGTGAAAACCTCTTGAAGGCTCAGTTTTGTGTCACTTCTGAATCGACAACAATGACTTTGACTGAATTTCTTTACCTTGTATGCTTCTAGGTTCCCCCTTCTGGTCTCTTTGATGAGATTTGCTAAAATTTACCTATTGTGAGGGATGAGGTGGTTCTATTCAAAGAATTCTGTGAATTTTGAATGTGTTTTATAAATTAAAGTGTCTTGGGTGTTCTTTAGTTAGTTACTTAGTTACTGCCCTTCAGCACTCATTGTCTTTTCCTTCTTCCTGCATTGCCCTCCAGAAAGCGTTCACTACAGACTGCCCATTCTGGGCCCCAGGACAGCTGTCTTCAGTGGCCTTCTCTCACAAACCTACAAAACCCTACAGGAGAAGCAGCTCCCTTCCTTCTCCAGAAAAGAATCAACCAGCAAGGCAACGAAGCGGTGTTGAGTGGTCAGCTCATCATCTCTCCCATAACACTCAGAGAGGGATCAACTTCACCAAGGCTGTCCCTGGCTCTCCTCCAGTCCTTTTTTCCTATTTCTAGTAACATGTTGCAATCATATCTTCCTAAGAGTTGCTCATATTCTAACTCTTGCTGCTATCTTCTGATCTCCTTCTCCCAAGGCAAAAAATGGTTTCATTGACATGACTATAAACATTTACTGATTGTAATAGAGTCACGGAAATGTATCTTGTTTTATTTTGTTAGAGTTTCTTACCTATGTTATAATAGACAATATTCTTCTGTTTGTAAGACATGCCTTTTCTGCAAGCTATTTCAATTCTTCCTTCAGGGTAGGGGGCTCGTGGTGCCCCAGGGTATCCCTTATGAAGTTAGACTGTTAAGAAAGGAGGTGAGCAGCTACAATCCTGAATGCAAGCAATTAGAATCCATGCAATTCAAAACCACCAGATGCTACATTGGAGAAAGAGGAGCAGTCTCATCCTTTGCTAGCTGGATCTGATTCGATGGGATACAACAAGTTTAAAAAAAAAAGAATAAGAAGAAAGATGGGAATAAATTATATATACTGCATTGAAATAGATGAGAGAGAAAACTATTTAAAAGATATAGATGATTAGGTATTACTGTCATGACAGAAGTCCCGAATGAAGGCTGCATAGTGGAATGGACTTGGGGGGAGGGATTGTATAACAATGAAAGAATTTTTCAAAGAGAAGAGAGAACTGGAGCGGAGGGGTGGGCAGGGAAAAAATGCAACAATGAATGAATGGAAATCCAAAATCTCTGTAAATTGTCATTAAAATTAATGATAATAATTTGACCAAAAAAAGGAAAAGGAGGCGAGCAAAGGAAGCCACCCTTCTGTACTTATCTCTGTCAGTTAATGCTGGTAAATGATAAAAGATACAATGATGCAAAACTGGAAAACGGCAAGTGATTAACCTCCTCTCCCCAGTCACTTCCTTTGCTGTCTTTTGTAGATCAGATAGTTCGTTAATCGTTGCCTATTCAAATCTATACCCAGTACTTGTGTTTTCTAACGTTGTTACTTTGGTAGAGGATATAGAACTCAGTATCTGCTCTAGTGCATGTATTAGCAGAATGAGGGAGTCAAAAGAAAACTCTAGGTTTGTAAATACATTTAAAGGCACGTGTGCTCTGTGCTGAGCTTCAGGGAGGGTCATATGAACAAAAGACCCTTTCCATTCTCTAAGAGATAGTGACTCATAAAGTGGAATCCCAGGATCATAGCTGAATGGACACTGGACCAACAATTGAGAACGGACCTCTGTACTGAGTCTACTTAAAGAATGGGCTTCAGAAAGTAGGTCAACTGGCCTGGTGCCTAGACTATGACTCTTGGCTTTAGGCTAGAACTCCGACAAGTTCTTGAGAACTTCCAACAATAAAAGAACTCTATCGATAATGTCTATTTCCTGTTAAGGTAAAGGTGGTTGTTGATTCTGGTGTTACTTAATTTAACTGACAAAAGATCAAAAACTTGGCAATTTTTAGCCACTGGCCATTCCGCGTGAAAGAGATGAGGCAGTCTGCTTCCATAAAGATTGTTGTGGTTGTTGTTGTTATGTGCCATCAAGTTGCCTACAATTCACAGTGACCCTATGTACAACAGCCCTAAACCCTGCTCTATCCTGTGCTGATCCATAAAGATTACAGCTCTTGAAATCCAATGACACAGTTCTGCTCTGTCCTATAGGAATGAGTTGGTGTGGACTTTTTACTTTTTTTTGTTAATGAGATAGGCAATGTAAACAGTGAGCCAAGAAGTTGGCCATTTGAGTCTGCTCATTGTGTCTCGGGGAAAAGTCCTCATAATCTACTTCTGAAAATCCAGCCTCTGGAGTACAGCTCTGCTCTAATGGATGTGGTTGCCATCGATCAGAATCTACTCAACAGCAACCAATGTGTGGCTTGTATTGAAAAAATAAAAAAAACAACCAAGAAGTTTCCTAAACAGAATGCTTCCAAAATCTCCTGAGAAAGGATAATATCTGGTGTTTACTGGTGTCCTAGCATCGTGACAGAGGAAGATGGTCTCCATCGACTTCTTCAACTTTTACACACTTAAGTATTGAGATACCTAAAGAATTTTTTAAAATGTGCCTTATTGTTATTTTAAGATTTTGGAAATCAAAATGAGAAAATGTCAAAGGACAAGAATGCACAACATCCCTTTGCAGTAGATGCCACAGTGATGTTATTATCACATGCCATGTAACCTCTGGGTAATTGCTCTGTACCCTTGTGAGAGAAATAGAATGAAAAAAGGCAAACACCCCCATATCTCTCTTCCTCTGCTCTCTCTCTCTCACACACACATATTTCTCTCTCCCTCTCCTCTCCTCTTCTCTCTTTTTCTCTCTCTCACATTACATTTCTCTCTCTCTCTCTCTCTCTCTCTCTCACACACACACACACACACACACACACGCACGTCACTTAAGAATTATTGTAAAAATTATTTTGACCTCACAGATACTTCATAGTGTCAGAAACTCCCCAGCCCACTTTGGGAATTTCTAGTCTATGCGATATACTATTTTGTCTCCATCCCTTCAAGAAAAGGATGCCAAAAAGCTTCCATACATTCACCTAAGTAACCTGATTATCATGTCAGAGCATTTAGAGAGAAAAAAGCATCAGGTTTTAAAAATTAATACTGACTTATAGTATCATTTCTCATCTTTTACACAGATTGTCTGCCCTGCAACCTTGGATTTTTAATTTGGTTCCTCAAACAGTGGTCCAATGAGAAGACACTAGTTTGACCATCTGTCACAAGAATTCTAGTTTCATGTAAACTGTTCTCTGGCTGGGTGATTTGTTAATTAGTTTATTTGCATTTGGTTAATGTGAACTCACTTCCCAGAATCTGAGATCCAAATAAGAACCACAGTGGCTTTACCATACTAATGACACCTCTTTATTGGTTTCGTTTAAAAGTTAACTAGCTTGTGAATTTCCTTTTTTCTTGTTCTAGCAACTGAATCTTTGAGAATCATGGCTCTGGGTGAGGAATTTCCCAAACTAAGAAATCCTATTCTGATAAACTTCTCCATATGATAAACCAGTGCCATAATTTTCATTTAAACGTGAAGAGATGTGTATGCATGCAGCCCCATTTTCTCTATCAAAGGAATAATGTTATTGATGGGAATCCTTTTCTTGTGATGTGGCGGTCAGATGGTTAACCACATTTTTCCTTGTGGCACAACCTTTTTCCCCCTCCTCTCTCTCTCAATCTTTTGTATGCTGAGTTGAGTCCATGCAGGTTAGAGTTTGGTCTTGGTAGTTACTGTTGTCTCTATAATATCTTTCTAGGCTCTCATTAATAGTAAGATCTGGTGATGTAGGTGCTGCTAACACAAAACTATGCCTCTCTGGTGGTTCAAATCTACTATCAGCTCCAAGGGGAAAGATGGACAGTCTCCCCCCAGCATAGTGGAGGGTCAACTATGAGTCAGTTCTGACTTGATGGCAATGAGGTTTTTCATCTCATAAATAGGTTAGGACAATTTCTTCATTATGAAAATCTAGTCATAGTATTTTCTGTGGTTCAAAGTCATATGCAGTACAGACTAATTTTACCGCATGGAGAATCTTGTATTACTATGTTTCTCCCAGCTAACTTCTGATTTTGCTGGGTTTTAAAAAAAGAACAACCACCAAGAAAGACTCATAGTAAAAGCCACCAGGCATGAGTCAGATTTACTCCTACTCTTACATCTTCCTTCACCCCAACAGAAAGCTTAAAAAACAATCAATAATACTAGTTCTGTCATTTCCAGGAATGTGGAGAAATACTATATTCGAAGAAGAGTCATTCTGTAACTTTAAAAAAAAACACCCCACAAGTCTTCAGGTCTTCAATACAAGATAATGGTTACATTTCACTGCCACTTTAACCTTGGGGAAGTCTGTGGGCATCCATAGCTATATGCTCTTCTCAGCCACTCATTTCTTTTACCTCTGTTAAAGCTCAGGGGGTCTACCAGAGAACCGCTTGTTCCTGAGACTTGTGATATATCACATTGGAACTTCCCCTTGTCCTGAATAGCAGAAATGTAACGAGTTTGGTAAAACTGCATTGTCTCCTCCTAAGGAAAGCCTTAGGAGAATGTTCCTTTCTGGGTGCAGTCACTCAAGTAGGGACTTCTTACAGCAGAAGAGGTAGGCGATTTCCAAGGTGAGAAGAGAGCGCAGGACTTGTTTCTATTAATCAACCTCAAAAATGTTATTCTCTATAAACTATCCTTAAGAATCGATGAAATGCAAACATTTTAGAAATAGACAATATTTAACTACCCTCCCTGGGTAGTTAGGACTGACCAATTCGACATGAACGGTGTCCCACTCAAGCCCATCCTACTCGATTACATTCTGCTCCTATCCCACATGTGCAGCTCCCACCTCCCTACCTCCCTCTCTAGAAAAATGTATAACTTAGGACAAGAATAATGTTTCTTAATTTTTTTAAATAAGAATAGTGCTTTGTGCTGTCTCTGTGTCCCCACAGAGGTTACCCAGACACATGTTGTTGTTGTTGTTAGGTGCCATCAACTCAAAGGCACTAATTCTGTTTTGGTCTCCCTTCTTCATTGTCCAACTCTGACCTGTATATGAAGCAATTGAAATGACTGTGTCCTGGACCAAGCACCTTAGTACCTCATCTTTAAAGTAGCATCCTTGCCTATTAACACTTTAAAGAAGTTCTGGCAGCAGATCTGCTCAATTCTATATGTCATTTGATTTCTTGACTGATGTCAATATTCCTTGGATAATGAATATTGACTATTGATCCAAGTAAAATGCAGTCTGTGGCAACTTCAGTCTTTTCTCTGTTGATCAGGAGGATGTTTATTGGTTCACTTTTGATACTCTCTTTTTTCTATATGTTTAGGTGTGATCTATACAGAAGGCTGTAGTCTTTGATCTTCACTAAGTGCTTCAAATCTTCCTC